GCTGTGCAGTCATCTAATTGATTACTGATTTCTTCTCCCTTTCAGAGCTTTGTTTTGATTGTTATCTTTCTCTATTTATCTTTATCTTTTGTATAACTAAGTTGTTTCAGGTGTGTAAATAACTAAAGTGGGTTTAGGGCAGCTTAAATAAAAGAAAAAATTGCCTGTTTCAAGGATATCTCCAATTTTATATTAATTATTGAGACCTTCAGTTTAGCTTGAGAATTATAAAACCCTATGTACTTGTCTCTGTGGCAGTGGCCTAAATAGTAGGCCACAGCTCCTGAGTGTACCTAACTCTATGCATACACCTTATTCTATGTCTCAGGTCCATTTTTCTCTAAAATGAAGATGATAACAGCTGTGAAATAGGGCTGAGTTAATGAGGGAAGAATATGTAACTATAGATAGAAACACACATACAGAAACAGATTGGAGAGCTAAATAGACAGACTGATAGGTACATAAATACATTTTTTTAGAATGCCTAGCCAATTGACATAAATTTCTGGAGATTAGAATGCTTCCTTCTTTTACCCCTCAAGAAATGAATAACTCCATTTATTTGTTAAATGTTTGTGATTATTTAAAAGCAGTTACATTGGTCTTGAAGTTGATACATAGTAGGTAAATGTAGACATTTGACACTAAACCTCTAGTCCTATGATTTTTAAAATACATTTCAAAATCATATACACTAGCCTCCTTCCTTACTTCCCTTTTAAAACAATTGAATATTAGTAGGATAATAGGATAATACACACACACACACAAGTATCATGTGTGGCTTGTGGCAGCATAAATCAGTCGAATACTCATGGAGGGTAACTTAGCAATACATATAAAGAAACATGAAAAAAGTTTGGATCATTTGACCCAAGTAATCCCAATCATTGAGATCTATTCCAAAGAAGTTATCAAAGACTAGACATAAAATTTACAAATACATTAATTATGCCAATATTCACAAAAATACCCTAAAATTTGAATAACAACTGAACATTTAAAACAGAATAATAGTTTATCATGCAAATAGTAAAAACAGCTACATATAAATATATATATAAATTCAATGTTAATTTAACAAAGCAGTAAACAAAGTTTTGTGTATGCTCTAAAATGATAGAGCATATATAACAAACACCTAAAAATGGAATGAGAACACAAAGTAGCTCACCACAAATGCTATCACTTTCATCTAACCCATCTCCACAGTCATCTTCTCCATCACAAATCCAATGCTTAGATATACATTTTTGTGCAGAACAAGCAAATTGATTCCAAGAACAAGAAGAATCTAGAAAACAAACAAGAATGTATGAGTGAAAAAAAAATTATTTGAGACGATCTTAGGACAGTTCTGACAGTGAGAAAAGTTATTCCTTAGACTTTGCTAAAATCACCCATCCAGTTACAAAACAAGCCAAGCTCTTCTTTTCCACATCGGCTCTATAAAACTGTGACAACAGCTGGCATATTCCCTGACTTTCCAGGTTTAACAACATGGTTCCTTCAACAAATTCTCACAGGGCTTGACTTCCAGCTAGTTATTATGCTGGTCACTCTTCCCTAAGTATATTCTAATTTGTCCTTTTTGAAAATACATGCAGTGCACATGTACATTCCAGGTGTGGTCTAGTCATCCTTTCTAATTTTTAAACATTTGGAGAATAGAATCACTTCCTAGGCAAGGTCATGGTATGGTGGACTCACCAGCATGCATGTTTGTTTTTAAAGATGAGGTGACAAAGAGGATTTTATCCCAATGACAAGCCATGAGTTTCATACCTGTACATGTTAATACTTGGATATTTTTATTTGTCTTCTTTGGGAACACTTAAGTCTGGCTAATAAAATCCAAATTCATTGGCATGGTGGTAGTATTTTATTAACAAATAATGCATTCATAATATTATTCCCCATATATATTCAAAGTCAATCTTGTGATTTCTCTCTTCTACCCTCAACCTGCCTCTCCATTCTGTATTTTTATCACTGCAAAACATCTGAAAATAAAATCCTTCCAAATTAAAGTATTCAAAATAGAAATTACTATAAAAAAATTTTTAAATGATTTTCATCCTATAAACTTTTTTTCAGTATTATACTCTCAATTAGTACTTTAATTTTGATAATATTTTTATTTAGCTTGAGATTTAAAAAATTCATTCTTCTATTGAAGTTTTGATACATGTAAAACTCCTTGTCTACTTATTATCACTCCAATTTATTCTCAAGGTAGGTATAATAGATACAGCATTGATTTGGCTGTTGAGAAATTTAATTCTATGTGACCTTGGAGAAGACTAGTGTCTGAGTTTCACTATCTGTAAAATGAAGGGTATGACTAGATAATTACTAAGATACCCAAGCTATAAAGTGGAATAAGGTTCTTTGCAGCTAATTTTCTGGCTCCCTTGATAGTGTTCAAGTGATTTTATGTTAAGAGTATGCCAAAACATCACAGTCAATTGGAAAGAAAATGGACCAAAGAAAAAACTGATGGCTTCATTCCATAGTTATTCTGCCATCTGGAGAAGCCCTGCCTTCCTCTGGAAAATGAATCCCAAGAGAGAAGAAAGACAAGCTGAAGGAATTCCAACTTCATACTGTGCACCTACTCAGATATAATATTTGATTGGTAAGAGTTACTATCTTATTTAGTAAGTATTTCAGAAACCTGAATTCTGGTCCTATCTCTGTCATCGCCATTCACTGAGTGCCCTCAGGCAGTTTATTAACCTCTGTGAGTCTCTCTTCTATCAAATGAAGGGGGTGGACCAGGCTGTTTTTCAAAATGGGATTCTCAGATCCCAAGTCAGAGTAACTATGTACTTATTAAGAAAGAAGGTGTTTACAGCCCACATGAGAATACTTGAAGGTGGGGATTTAAAAATCGACATTTTAAACAGGCTTCTGAGAAGGATCTTTTGTATACTAAGGGTTGAAAACCACTAAGATAAATATTTATAAAGTTCCTTTCCAATCCTGAAATATTAGGTTCAGTTCACAGGCTGATGCATGGCCTAAAGCAGTGTTTATAGGTGTCACTAGCTTGGTAGTTAGTATATAAAAATGCAGCTGTAATTAAATTAAATAGACTTGATGTTTTGACCACAGGTAAGCCTACTCATCATCATTTTAGTTCTTAAAAAAAAAAAGATTAGGACACTGATAGATATAGGTACAATAATACACTGAAAAATAAGGGAAGGAACATGAGAAATAGAACAAAACAGGATGAGAATTTATTTATATAGTGCACATTGGCCATGCTGGATGATCACAGTAGTTACAGAAGGTAAGTCTTTTTGTACCCCCTTAACAGATAAGGAATTTGAGAAACAAGGAATAGATGGACCTGTCCATGATCACACAGCTAGTAAATGCAGATGTGGGAGAATTTAACTCTGTGTGACTTTAGGGTTATTTCCTCTTCTGTCATGCTGGGCCCACTCACAAAGGTTAGGAGTGTCAGTGGAGCCATTTGGTACAGGGTTAAATGAAGGGTCAAAAACAAGATGATTTTAGAGAAGGCAAACATGTTCAACCCATGGCAAGTAGATAATGTTATTGTTTAAATTAAAGAAAGATTTAATAGCCAAAAGAAACAAAGTTCAAAGAAGCTGTGCAGTCATCTAATTGATTACTGATTTCTTCTCCCTTTCAGAGCTTTGTTTTGATTGTTATCTTTCTCTATTTATCTTTATCTTTTGTATAACTAAGTTGTTTCAGGTGTGTAAATAACTAAAGTGGGTTTAGGGCAGCTTAAATAAAAGAAAAAATTGCCTGTTTCAAGGATATCTCCAATTTTATATTAATTATTGAGACCTTCAGTTTAGCTTGAGAATTATAAAACCCTATGTACTTGTCTCTGTGGCAGTGGCCTAAATAGTAGGCCACAGCTCCTGAGTGTACCTAACTCTATGCATACACCTTATTCTATGTCTCAGGTCCATTTTTCTCTAAAATGAAGATGATAACAGCTGTGAAATAGGGCTGAGTTAATGAGGGAAGAATATATAACTATAGATAGAAACACACATACAGAAACAGATTGGAGAGCTAAATAGACAGACTGATAGGTACATAAATACATTTTTTTAGAATGCCTAGCCAATTGACATAAATTTCTGGAGATTAGAATGCTTCCTTCTTTTACCCCTCAAGAAATGAATAACTCCATTTATTTGTTAAATGTTTGTGATTATTTAAAAGCAGTTACATTGGTCTTGAAGTTGATACATAGTAGGTAAATGTAGACATTTGACACTAAACCTCTAGTCCTATGATTTTTAAAATACATTTCAAAATCATATACACTAGCCTCCTTCCTTACTTCCCTTTTAAAACAATTGAATATTAGTAGGATAATAGGATAATACACACACACACACAAGTATCATGTGTGGCTTGTGGCAGCATAAATCAGTCGAATACTCATGGAGGGTAACTTAGCAATACATATAAAGAAACATGAAAAAAGTTTGGATCATTTGACCCAAGTAATCCCAATCATTGAGATCTATTCCAAAGAAGTTATCAAAGACTAGACATAAAATTTACAAATACATTAATTATGCCAATATTCACAAAAATACCCTAAAATTTGAATAACAACTGAACATATAAAACAGAATAATAGTTTATCATGCAAATAGTAAAAACAGCTACATATAAATATATATATAAATTCAATGTTAATTTAACAAAGCAGTAAACAAAGTTTTGTGTATGCTCTAAAATGATAGAGCATATATAACAAACACCTAAAAATGGAATGAGAACACAAAGTAGCTCACCACAAATGCTATCACTTTCATCTAACCCATCTCCACAGTCATCTTCTCCATCACAAATCCAATGCTTAGATATACATTTTTGTGCAGAACAAGCAAATTGATTCCAAGAACAAGAAGAATCTAGAAAACAAACAAGAATGTATGAGTGAAAAAAAAATTATTTGAGACGATCTTAGGACAGTTCTGACAGTGAGAAAAGTTATTCCTTAGACTTTGCTAAAATCACCCATCCAGTTACAAAACAAGCCAAGCTCTTCTTTTCCACATCGGCTCTATAAAACTGTGACAACAGCTGGCATATTCCCTGACTTTCCAGGTTTAACAACATGGTTCCTTCAACAAATTCTCACAGGGCTTGACTTCCAGCTAGTTATTATGCTGGTCACTCTTCCCTAAGTATATTCTAATTTGTCCTTTTTGAAAATACATGCAGTGCACATGTACATTCCAGGTGTGGTCTAGTCATCCTTTCTAATTTTTAAACATTTGGAGAATAGAATCACTTCCTAGGCAAGGTCATGGTATGGTGGACTCACCAGCATGCATGTTTGTTTTTAAAGATGAGGTGACAAAGAGGATTTTATCCCAATGACAAGCCATGAGTTTCATACCTGTACATGTTAATACTTGGATATTTTTATTTGTCTTCTTTGGGAACACTTAAGTCTGGCTAATAAAATCCAAATTCATTGGCATGGTGGTAGTATTTTATTAACAAATAATGCATTCATAATATTATTCCCCATATATATTCAAAGTCAATCTTGTGATTTCTCTCTTCTACCCTCAACCTGCCTCTCCATTCTGTATTTTTATCACTGCAAAACATCTGAAAATAAAATCCTTCCAAATTAAAGTATTCAAAATAGAAATTACTATAAAAAAATTTTTAAATGATTTTCATCCTATAAACTTTTAAAACTTTGTGTCCTTATTTAAAATATTTACTTAGATGACCCAAGAAAAGACAGAATTTTAGAAAGCAGAAACCTGGAAAAAATAAAATTAAAGAAGATATACCCATTCAATGGCTTCCTGTCCAGAAATTATGAATCTACGTAAACTATTTGTAAAGTTCTCTGTTAATTCTGTTCAGATCTAGCTCTAATGTAAAGATATATGGCATCTTAATCAAACAAAATGTACCTTAGTATTTCTTGATAATATTTACTTTTAGGAGAGTTTGACATTTCATAGAAGATCCATTTTTAATCTTTTTTACCTACTCTGTCTATTCACCATAGTGTATGTTATCTGTGTGAAATGAATATATGGGCTATATGCTTTGTTTCCCTACAGGAATTTCTTTGACCTGGAAATCACAAAATACATAAATTTTATAAAATAAATTTTTTAAATGCTGTGTTTCCTTGCCAAGTAAATGAATTGCGCACACACAAAATACAGGAGTTAGGTGGTGAAGGATGCAAGTTAGAAGAAATACAAGTTTAAATATGCTTTTAAAAACTATCCATGTAATTAATAAAAATGTAGGATAATAATATATTTGTCAAGAACTGATGGGGGAGTATAATGAGTCTTGTAAACTAAATCCTTTGTCTTTGTAGCAGAAAGTAAATACATTAGTATCTAAAGTTAATGAGTCAAGAAATGAAGCTGTGAGTATCTCATTGAGATTGATAGAGGTAATCACCAACAAAAACTGAAAAGGTTAAAAGAAAAGGGTGAGACAGGAGACAGTTATTCATAATTATAAGTTTATTTGTTCTATTTTAATTTTCATCATTTTGTTTTATTTAATAAAAATGAAAATTGATGTTAAAATACATTAACAATATCTTCCATAAAATCTCTATATAAGAGAACATCAGCATATAAATAATAACATGGCTTATAACATTAAAGCAAGATATGATGTCTTACCACAGTGGACTTCATCAAGTCCATCCTCACAATCTTTCTGACCATCACATATCCATGTATTCAAAATGCATCTTCCACTAGGACAACCAAAATAATTTTCTTCACATTTGTGTTTGTTTTGAACTGTGATAAAATATAGAATGTAATGTCAAACAATTTAAATTAATCTTTGACTTCTGCAATATAGATAGATAAAAGAATACTAATACTCCTTGAACTAGAAGAGATTAAATAACAAGGAAATTTAAATTAAAAAAACCTCAAATGTTCTCTACAGGAATGTCAAGGCCATGAAAACCAAGGAAAACCTTAAAAAACTGACACAGTTCAGAGCCTGGGGAGATGTAATAATCAAATTCAACCCAGAATTGGATTCTGGGTCAGAAAGAGGATACTAATAGAAAGTATAATAAAATAAACAACTGGTTAAATTCAAATCATGTGGAGTTTAGGTAATAAAATTAAAATTTAAAAACTCAGGTGATTTTAAAGTGACTGAGCCTAAGGCCAAAGAATCATTTTAGGTGGAAAATATTCTTAATTCCATATTCATAAAAAGTAAACATTATAAAACATTAGTGGATATTTGTTGAAAAAGTGTAAACTTAGTGTTCCTACTGTCCTATATTTTGAATATGTTTTGACAAGATTTAAATAAGTATTATATGTTTTAAGGAATTAAAGCAAGTTACCGTAGAACCTCTAAAATGATTATACCTTGTAGAAATACCAAGAGAGTAGAAAGTATCTGTATATACAATTATTTTGTAAGTTATATATTTTTGAGACTGTGGAGTACTATTGTTATGACCTCCCAGGGTACATAAAAATTACTAGATTTTTCTCTTTCCTGGACATCATTGGCCCTTGCACCTTCAGGTTCACATAGTTGTTGAATGGAAGTAAACCTTAGAGTAAATATACCAATTACACTATAATGACCCACATGATTCTTCTAAGGTAACAAAAGTCATCCCCAGTTAATTTTTTTAAATGTCAACTTTGTAGATCTAATTAATGATGTACATTTTCTTAGTGAATTCACCATTAAACCCAAAAGTCTTGAGTGTTTTACGTGTTTTACATTTTCTTCTTAGGACAGTGCCTAGATATAACCTAAGGTATTCAGACTGATCTATTACTGGCTTCCTGTCTGTCTGCCCACCTGTCTTGTGTGCCTACATGAGCGTTTTTTAAAAATAATTTGTTAATACTAGAAATACATAAAGACCATAAAAAAAGTTTAAAAAATAAATATAAATGTAATGGACATCTGTTATATGCTGCCTTTAATGTGATTTTAAAAATTAACTACAGCCATAATGAGATCAAGAATTATTGTAGGAAGAACATTGGATTAAGAATCTCAGGTTCCATGAATCTAAAACAATGTTTCTGTATTTCTTTTTAAATGTTGTGTATAAAGAAACATAATGTAAAAAAACTGTGAAAGAGTTGCAGTGAGCCATAGTCAAGTGCTCCAGAGAAGTTATCCAGCTCGTCCTAGGAGGCGGCTAGCCTTTTCAGGCCCAGAAAGAACAAAAATTACATCACAGAATGTTACACCCTGTTGTGAAGGAAAAAAAATGGAAATCTGCTACTGCGCACTTATGTGGGCAGATTATGAACTATTAAAAATATAAGTTCTTCATAGTAGAATTTATGTGTGCATGTATGCTGGCGTGTGAAGAACCAACAAATACAATCTATTAATATATTTCAAAAAAATTATTATGTGTCACCTAAACATGGGAAAAGTGCAGGGTAAGTATAGATGTAGGGTAAATAGAGGGAAATGGCAGTGTAAGAACATATTTGTTTCCTATATAGCATATCTACCACCAGTTATAGTAATTGAACACTTTTATTTCCTGTATTATTATATATTTGAAATTTGCTTCTTAAAACATGATTTTTCATGGAAGGCATTCTCCAAAGAATGCAAATGACACTTTTCAGAGCTTATTTAGGTAAAGATGGTTAATAGTCAGAAATACTAATTTTGATCCAGTGATAATAACGATTACCCATAGCACTATGCTAGCAAATTGTATAAACTACATCAAACAGCCTAACATGATAATACAAGTTATATATGTGATATGAGTCATCAGAAATACATATTTGCTCATTCATATGACTAAATATATATTTCCCAGATATATTTGGTCTTTATCCACAGTTCCTGAAAATACTGCAGAGTCTTAAAGGTGAAATGGGGTGTTTTTTCATGTTAATGAGAGACTTTTGGATCCCACCCAAGGGCAGGAGCTGGAGGTTGAATCAGGCAGTGATCAGTAATTTAGTCAATCATGATTATGCAATGAAGGCCTCACAAAAACTCCTGAGAATAGCTTCTCTCTCTCTGCTCTCTTGGATCCTGCTTCTCAGTTGTATAGAGCTTCTATGCTTGGGAAACCAGAACACTATGTGTCACCAAGCCAGGTCCCAAGCTCCATGCGGATAGAAGCTCCTTTATTTGGGACCTTGCCCTGTGTGTCTCTTCATCTGGTTGTTGACTTGTACCCTTTACGGTATCCTTAATTAAACTGGTAAATGTGTCTTCCTGAGTTCTGTGAGCAGCTCTAGCAAATTAATTGAAACTAAAGGGGAAGTTGTGGGAACCTCCAATCTATAACTGGTAGGTCAGAAGTACAGGTTAACTGCCTGGGGCTTGTGACCAGCATCTGGAGTGGGCGGTGGAGGGTCAACTTGCAGGAGGGAGCCCTTCATCTGGGGAATCTGGTGCTGTCTCTGGGCAGATAGCTTCAGAATTGAGTTGAGCTTTCAGATACCCTGCTGGTGTTCCAGAATTGCTTTGTATTATGCATGAGAAGACCCCCCGTCCCACATATTTACACACACTGGAATTGGTCCAGGAACCCAAACTGAGTTATGCAACTATTACTGCCCTGTATAATACTATGATTCTTGTATATGAAAGAACACATTGCAGATAACATTGAGTGAAGCCAGTGGTGAGAAACATGGTCTCCCTCCAATTAGTCTCTGAAGAGTACTTTCTCAGTATTTTAATACTCTTGTGGATACGCTATATACATTATACATTTTAAAACTTTACAAGGATTAATGAGGAACTGAACATGGAAAAGTAATTGATCCAAACACAGAATACATTTCTTGAGTATCATTCAATAACTCATGAAAAAAAATAGATCAAATGGCATGTTGGGAATAGGGTGGTTACATTTAATTTAGGCTACATTATTTACATTCTACTTTTAGCCATTGAATATCAAAAGTGAAGATTAATAAGTTTATTCTGCACAACTAGCCTCTAAGTGTTCAAGGCAAAGACTGTTTTCCTTTCTAGAATTACCTGGGCATTTTAATTCATCTGAATAGTCTCCACAGTCGTTAGACCCATCGCATATCCAGGTTGGCAAAATACACAGTGAAGTAGAATTACATCTTATGAACCCTGTGGTTTTCACTCCAAGTTTATAGAAATGTGTACAGTCTGTATTATCTATAAGAAGGCAAACAGAAAAATGAGAAACACCTCAGTTGCAAAGATGATGAGCTTTCTATGTAGGTCATAGAGACAAGAAAAGTTAACCTCATTTGAAGAAGTAAATATGCAATTATCCTACACAACAGGGGTTAATTACATATCAATTCTGGACAAGGTTCAGTAAAAATTTGGATGGTGTACAATGCAACACCACAGATGCCCAGGCATGAACAAGCAAAAGGTAGTGAAATATCTTACTGCAGCTTTTCTCATCAGAAGCATCTGCACAATCTATGTTCTGGTTGCATCGTGCTGATCTTGGAATGCAAGTTCCATCTGCACAACGGAACTCCACAGCAGAACAGGTTGAAACTAGAAAAACAGATAAATAAATAAATGAACAGATGAGACAGAAAATCTTTCCTTGTTTTAACATTTTGAGTACAAATGGTCCTTGACTTATGATAGTTTGATTTACAATTTTCCACTTTATGATAGTGCAGAAGTGATACACATTTGGCAGAATCTGTACTTCAAATTTTGAATATTGATCTTTCTCTGGGCTAGGTATATGAAGTAGAATACTCTCCTGTGTCACTGGGTGTTGGTGACAAGTCATAACTCTCAGTCAACCACGTTATCACAAGGGCACACAACTGATATACTTCCAACCACTCTGTGTCCATATAACCACTCTACTTTTACATGCAGTACATTATTCAATAAATTACATGTGATATTCAACAACTTTATTATAAAATAGCCTTTGGGTTAGATGATTTTGCCCCACTGTAGGCCCAGGTAAGCTCTGAGCACCTTCAAGTCAGGCTGGGCTAAGCTATGATATTTGATAAGTCAGGTGCACTAAAAGCATTTTCAACTTACAATATTTTCAACTTAATGATGACTTTTTTGGGATATAAACCCATTATAAGTTGAGGCAGATCTCTTTTTTAATTCATATTTCATTCTTTTAATTTTGTTTGGTTTTTATTTTTTGACTCTGGGAAGTCCAATTTGACCCATGACCCTCACTCACAAGCTTGAGTTCGATGCCTTATCATCAACCTGTGTTACACAATAAATATTTCCCTCTGTTGTGTACTTACAATACTGCACAGTAATTGCTTGTTTATGCGTCTACCCTACTCCCAAATTGTAAGCTCCCTGGTAGCAGGGACTATCCCTTGTTTCCATGATCATACCTGGCCAGCACTGAGCCAACATAGAAAACAATTAAACATTGTTGAAAATTCTCTCTTCTTCTAACTTCAAAAGTACAAAGTTATGACACTAAGTGAAAGCCTAACTGGAAATACAAATCTGTTAGCCATGAAGGAGAATTTTTACTGCTAAGATCAAGACAGATGGACAGAGACAGAGAGGGAGAGGGAGAGGGCCATGGAGCATCTGCTTCATTACTCAAAAAGGGGAGAACTCAACACAGCTACAGAGTCATCCCTGCTACATCACACTCCCTTTACATGGCTGCCCCTATTGCTCACATTTGGTATAGGAAATATGCATGCCTCATGCCAAGAAGCATATAATAAATGTGGTAAAACTTGTCTCTATTGTTGGAAAGTATCACTTTCCAATTCTCTGCTATACTTAGAAGAAAGTCAGTTTCAATATGTTACTGTCATTATATATTCCTTGTACAGAATTCTTAATCATATATTCCTTTTTACTGTGCTTACACGTTCATTACCATATAATGGTTTGCAGCAATATGTTGGGAACAGGTGCATGGTATGCTATGTGCATTAGATTAATTTAGGTGAGAGTTTTATTCAAATTCCCACAGGTTGATTATGTTAATGTACAACCTAAAGGGCTCTTTGATTATGGCACTTTTACTAGTGTTGATATTTTAAAGAGCCTATTTAATTATAAATAGAAATGATTTCAATTGTAAATGGTTAAAATGCTATCTTAAAATATGCAAATTTTACTCAAGGATGTGTATGTCATTTGTATTTTACACTGCACAGCTCTTATTATATTTAATTGTATCTTGCAATTGTATCATTTTTGTTTAAATGATGATTAGAATAAATGTTTTATTTACAATTTGCAATTATAATTGCTTCACTGTTTTCTTCATTTAAAAAAATCTCATCATGTGAAACAGATAATGCCTTTATAACTAGAGATAAATGCAATGTTCTAAAGAGGAAAAGAAAAGACATTTTTCTTTTGTCTAAAAAATTCATTTCTATTACATTTCATATTCATTATTTTTTAGTGGAAATGGTAAATGGGATATGTATCCTAGAAAACAATCACAACAAGCATTTACATTTTGTTTTTGACTTTGCTATCAGTAAGCTCCTATTAAGAGGTTGTATTCCAAAAGATGTCTTATAATCCCTTTATTTAGAAGACATGATTCATTTCTTTGTGATTCAACATTCTACATAGTGGTAATATGTCTAGATAAGTCTACAAAGATTTATTTCATAATGCACTTGAAATTCTATCTTATACTTCTCCTAGGTTCTTGTCCCCACTGCAAGAAAGAATTGAAGGGCAGAAACATAGTAGAGAAGCAGAATAAAAGTTGTATTTGAATACACCGTCAGGGAGGAACGGGCTAGAGTTAAGGTAGACAAAGGCATGTTTACTTGAATAAAACAGAAAGGAAGGGGGAGCTCATTGATGGGAGCTTGCAAGCTCAAATTAGAGTTCTCAGTAGCCCCTCCCTCCTTATCTGAAGTAGGACAGAGAGACTGAAGACTTGTGTGTGCGTAAAGTCTGGAAAATAGAATGAAATAGCAAAGTGACAAAGACACCAACAGAGAAGCACAGAGACAAAACATATTAAGTTAAGCAGTAAGAAGTCTTTGTAAAATATGCACTCCAAGAAAAGGGAATGCAGGTACCTTCAGAGAGGAGGTTAGGGTAAGCATGCATTTAAAGGCTTAGGGTTCTGTCTTTAAAGGCTTTCAAGAACAGGGCAAAGAGCGGGGATTGGGACACGTTGGGGGTAGGCTTGACTTGTGGTCTCATGATGTCCCTCTCCAGTGAGAGACATTATGTCACTGTCTATAGTCAGCCCTCTAGATAATTCTGTAAGATAAACTTTCTGTTCTTCTCCAAGATAGCGGCTAACCCCAAGCACTGGGAACTTATAAGTAGGACTGCTTGCCCTGCCTTAAGATAGGTTGTTGGCTGATTACCAAAGAGTATGTTAGAAATTGAACTTCTCAACTCTCTGCTTTTAAAATAGAATCTAAGCCTTCAGATGGAGACCCTCCTTTTCTGATTATGCTATTTGAATTTTGGCATTTTTAGGAAAGCTAATCATGTGCTTGTCCCAAGTCTCTGCCCTATGTCGTCTGCATTGGCTAGAGCAAGTCTCAAGGTCAGCTTGGATTCCCTGTGGGATGAATTCACATTGCAAAGGGTGTTAACTCTGTGAGTCCCCTCTGGCTCTCTGGCTTTATCTGATGAGCTCCCTGAGTCCCTGGTGGGCTCACCCTCTTCTCATCCTGCTCATATCTTTCTTTCTGCTTAACACTTGCAGTTAGAGTTTAGGATGCTAGAAGGATACCAGTGGGACAGTCACAACACATTCTACTACCTTCATCCCCCTCTGAGCTCCCACAGAGAATCCTCTGTGTACATGGCAGGGAGTCCATTTGCGTGGGTTTTGGAGGCGGATAGAGTGAAGCAGCAAATTATGACTCTATGAATATGGTGGGGGAGTATTTCAGACCATTAAGAGTGCTATGAATGCTAAGTAGAAAGATAGACATGATCAGCTGGAAAAGGGGAAGACAAGGCTCAAAAAAGGAGCTTCTCAGATAAGGTTCAAAGAAAAAGTCACCCAAACTCTGCCCAGGTAGAGGGTCCTATGTGGGGCCAACAAAGGCATTGCAGGGAGGTAAGTTCCTCCCCAGTCAGTTCCCAAGGGACAGAACTAAGAACTGCCCAAACCACACCCCAGCATGAGGAATGGGCATGCTCCCTGAGAGGGACGGCTGTATAGAAGGCCCTGCAAATGAAATAACCCCCACCTTGTCAGTCACAGAGGTGCTCCCTTACCAGAATGCAGTATATGGGCCTCCCACCTAACAGACTGAGGCCTTTGTCTACCTTGACTCTGGCCCACTCCTCCCTTGGAGTATATTCAAATAAAACTTTCACTTTGCTGTGCTATTGTGTCTCTGCCTTTCAATTCTTTGTCGTGGTGGAGACAAGGACTGAGGAGAATGAACTCAACTTGTAACAAGAGGGCTGGAGATTTAGGGGGTTCACAGTAATGGAGTTTCAGAAACAGTGTTGGGGGCTCTCTCAGGTGGGAGTAAGAATAAAGAATGACTTATGTGAAGAGTGGAAATAGGGAACTGGTAGAACACAGTCTTGGATGGAATTCTGGGAAGCAGAAAGAAGGAACAAGAGGAACTCTGACTAAATAAAAAGAGAGCATGACACTGAAGTTGAGAAGAATATCTCGGGGATAGCATTTAAACGAAAGGCGTGGGGAAAAGGGTGAAGTAGGGGGTCAGAGAATGTAGGTAGAGAGTAGAATATTTTCATGATGTATTTTTATCTTGTCCCATTATCCCAATAAAACATAGGGCTAATGAATCTTGGTGAGTGTAAGGTAAAATTGAGCCGAAATGACCAGGCGAGGAGGCAACAAAGGAGCCAAAAGTTAATCCCCGGCGATGTTCGCTGGTCTGATTAGTCACAGGCCAGAAAAGTCGCGCCCAGGAGGGCAGGCAGCGAATTTTTAAAGAAGGTAGGGGGAGGCAGAGCGTAGATTTACAGCGGCGCGAGGATTGGCTAGCCTAAGGCACATTTTTCAGGTTGGGAGGGGGCAGCAGCTGGGGACTTCGGCAGGTCATCAGTGTCCAACGTGCTCACCCCTCCCTCCGGTGTCTCCAGCCTTACAGTGAGGAGGGCTGGGCAGGCCCATCAGAGTGTGAGGGATGTGGGAACAGATTGTTCCTTTACTTCTAATCTTATCTCCACAGATTCCAGGACTCAGGTATAGAGTTTGGAAACCACCAGAGGGTTAAGTGAATGGCCAAGCCTCTTTCTCTCTGTTCCCTCAACTATATTCTTTCCTCAAGTTGTTTTGGCCAGCCAAGTATTGATATTTGTTTCACCCTTAGGGTGGTTTTTCAGGGAGAAAGATTCTGGAATCCCTAATTTGTCAAGTGAATATGAAAACTTTCTGACAATTTTTCCTCAGGCTAAAAGTCCTAAAAAAGATAGAAAAGAAAAGAATGTAATCCAAATGAAGATAAGCCACGTGAGAAATATTAGACTTTTCCCTCAAGACAGTCCAAAGGAAAGAGTAAGCCTACAAAATATGAGGAAAACATGCCACAGCCTCAACAGGAATAGCAATGAGACACTACAAAGGAAACTCTGACAGGGATTGTGGATCAAAAGTAGTAACAAGAGAGAAAGTAAAACCATCTTTCCCTCATACACTTTCTTAATTTACCTTTTCATCCATTTTCTTTTGTCCATGCCAGTTAAAATATTTCATTAGAGGAAAGATATAAAAATGATTGGTCTTTCTTATCAATAACCTAAGTCAATGTTTTCTCTTCCAACTCCCCTACCCAGCCAGTAGGTGGCAAAGGGAAGATGATGTGAAAAAAAAATCATTAAATTTTCTGTCACATCTCTTCTCTTTACTTTCAAACCACATCTTTTATTTAATTTACTGGTGAGGCTCTAAGGGTATGCAAACCCAGAAGGAAAGATGATTTCATCTCCATGCAGGCTTATCCTTTTCCTTTAGCTTGTTGTTTATGGAATCTTCAACATTTTGCTATGAACATGGGAAAAACAAACACAAACACGAGTTTTCTCTTCTGTGGGTAGCCACCGAACTCCTCAGCTCTCCGGTCCACCTAAAGGTGTTCATGTGGCCCAAGGAAAGCACATATTTCCCACGGGGAGTGTTCATGTTCATCAAAGCAGGGAGTGAAGGAGGCGTGCCATGCACTCTCCCCAAATCTATTCCCTCAGCCTCTCACGTAACCAGAAGACAAATACAGAATGAAAAACTTTCTGAACAGCTCTTCAGATCCCTCCTGGACAGTCTGACGTCTAAAGCTCTCAGTCATGAAAGGAAAAGCTATAAAGGGGCAGTTAATGAAAGATTTATAAGGATTGGGAGTTTTGCTTTTCCTGCAAAGGAGAAGAAACCCCAACTAATTCCTTGTAACATCCACTTCCACTCTGTAAATAGCTTATCTGCCTTGCAGAATTAAAAGAAAAACAAACAGTAATATTCATTACTATTAACATTAAAACTAAACAAATAAAAGTATAATAGTACTTGAAATAATTTACAGATGATTCCACCAGAGCCTCTCTCCGTAGCCTATCAAAATCACCCTGTGTATACTGATGTTTTAGGGTACTAATTAAAATTTTTTTGTATTTAATTTTATTTGCATTTAAAAAGGCGGTTTGTGTGTGTAGATATCTGTACAATAAAGCCCCATATCCCTGTGATGCAATGACTAAATTAACAGAAAGGAGTAGATGAAAAAAGGCTGGAATGCAGACAGATCTGTTCCCATTCTCTCTCAGCCTGTATGTGCTCCTTGTCCATCATCATTTTTTAGGTGCTGTTAAGTTTCCATGTGTTTGGTGGATTCATACCTGAATTTTTAATTTATAAGACAACTATCTTGTGGGAAATTGACCCAGAGAAGTCTTTTCCCTATGGCATGAAATATGCTCTACAAGGACATCATATGAAAGAAAAATACAATCTAAAAGATGTGAGATGTAATCTTTCATCTAAAAAACTACCCACTTGTTTATCCTAATGGAATTAGTCCATTAACTTAAATCTGTTAATTTCAAGCAAGTAATAAATTTGTGCTTTAGTTTTCCTGAGGATTTTTAGTTTCAAATGTCCATTACACAGGAAGAACTTCAAGGCATACATTTTTGTTGCTGTTCCTGTTGTTAAAGATATCTAATTGTTACGATTTTCATGCTATTATTATCACAAGAGAAAATTTTTGACAGAAACTTGGTTCCCAAATGCAGTAGTTCTGTGCCAGAATATATGGCTGAGATAGTTATAACACAGAAATCAAGAGTTTAGACTAAACAGAACAGGAAACAACATTTTGAGTTATTTTTGTTGTTTTTCAGCAGCTGGTATTGTCATTAGGCAGAATAAAACCTCTCTGTATTTTTTGGAAAACTTAATGCGTCAACCAGCCACATAAGAATTTGATAAACACCAACCAGATACTAGGTACTATATTTCTTAAACCCAAACTCATTAATTTACCACTCTTGAAAAAAAAAATTATCCAAGAAAATCACAATAACCTATTATCTTCCCATGGTTCCTTTTACTAATCTGTTATAAAATCTGCTTTCTGTATTTATTGCTAAGTTCCTTCACATTCTAGCCTGATATTTTTACCTTTATACCAGCTCTAATGTTTAATGTCTTCATTATAGTCCCCTCTACTGCTTGTAAATAGCTAAAAGAACACACCCATTTTTTTGGTCTCCTTTTCATTTAATTTCCCCTTTTCTTTAAATGCTTATTCATTTCCTTCCACTTACTTCACATGACTGACAATATTGGGATGAACTGAAAAAAGTAGGAGCAGTTGAAGGGCTACTCTATTCATAAGGCTCAAAGTAGATCAAAAAGGAAGATATTTCAAAGAATTGGAAGACTTGGAGTTAATCAGACAGGTGGGTGATAAAATATAGTGGAAGGAGAAATCAAGGATACCACCAAGGTGTCCTGTCCGGTCATAAGGTAAACGGTGAGATCATGCTTAAAATAGAATTCAGGAGTGAAGGGAAACATTTTGGAGCACTAAACTTGGTAATACACTTTCCAGTAGGAATGCCTAATAAAAAAAAAATGGGGAGCTAGAACTGAAGAGGTGAGAAATAAGAGTTTTGAAGTGAGAAAAGGTATGGAAACTAGAAATAAAGCATATTGTTTTAATTTTCAGCTAATTGTAATAACTCCCCTCCAAAGGCATTTGCCAAAATATGGTCCATAAATGTTAGTAGGTGTTATATACCAAAAGGGTTAAACCACAGTGCTCTCAGAAACACACTTTGGAAAAATTCAAGAAGTAACTCAGCATTAATATCCCTAGTCTGAGGCAACACATAGTTACCTTCACAGTCTAACTCATCAGAGTTGTCGCCACAGTTGTTCTCACCATCACATAACTTTCCATAAGGAATGCAGCGACGATTGTAGCAGGGCTTGAAACCTCTCCGACAGCTTCTGTTTTCTTATAAATAAAAATAGAAACACGTAATTGGAGATCTTATGGAAACGGCTTTACAAAAAGAAAATCCTAGATGAGATTTCATTCACAATAACTGGATTGCGGATCTATAAAATAAGCGATGTGTAGTACCAAAGCTCTCGATTATTCGTGAATTACCAAGTAGTTCATTCAGTGAAGAGCTTTTTTTGACTCCCTGTTTTAACTTCGGTGATTCATTCTTGGGGATATCTTCAAAACAGCCACATAATTCATTGTGGATTTTTAGCCAGGTAGTACAGAAATAAATATGTGCCACATATTCAGAGCTGAAGAAATAAGTCTCTACTTCAAAAGTAATGAAGACCTCTAACACCTATCTCCTATCTAATTTGCATCCCATGAGGATTTTATAACAAGAAGAAAAAAACAGTGGCAAAGCATGTAATCCTGAATCAGTGAATTTGAGTCACTTAAATATCTATAAATTTCTCTCAAAAAATCAACTAAAAATGTCTAACAGAATTTCCTAGAAAAAGAATTGTTTTCTGAATTCTGTTTACCTTAATGAAAGCCTCATGATATTTTCTGATTTCTGGTAGAAGGTACCACTTACAACAATAATAGTTGAAATATACTGAACATTAATTTTGTGCCAGGCTCTATATTGACCCTATGTAAACATACATTTGTTTATTTAATGCTCTCAAGTACCATAGAGCATATGGCCACCAAACTAAAGTGATACCAGCTGACTCTTTACAGAAAACATTTGCCAACCACTGCTCATACTATTATCCTACCTCTAAAAGATGAAAAGTGAAAAAACATTTTAAAGTCAATCACAATAAATGTGTTATTTGTAAGCTAATTATTATTATATTTGTATATGTTCTAGAGTTTTCATGGTAAACATGGTTGTTCACTCTACAGATATTTCATCTGAGGTAAATTCTTTAAGATTTTAGTTTCAGATCAATCATGCACAAATTATTTTTGACTATTATTTCAACCTAGGATGTATTATTCTACAATATAAAATAATGGAAGACCTGCCATAGATTTACCAAACTCCATCTTCCTCTTGTTTTAACTTTCCTTTCATTATTTAGGTGTAATTATTACCCAGATATTAGAACAAAGATGAAAAGTAGAAGCCAAGTATAGCAATTCTAGATATAAATTCTTAAATTGTTTCAAGCATACAGTACAATACTAGTACTGTTATATTATAGTGCAAAAATAAGCCAGACCAATTTAGAAATAATCTGGATCACTTCTATGAAACTAACTATTAACAATTGCAGAGACACAAATTTTCAAGAAAAATACTGTTGTGATGAAGGCAGGTATCATTTGCTTACTAGGGTTGAAAAGCCAATCTCTGCTCCCAAGGGAGAGAGAAAGTTTGACTATCACTTTGTGTCTCCTACAGAAGCACCACTGGTGGAATCCCATGCCTGACGGGTCCATGACTAAAGCAGTCAGCTTTATACCTAATGGTACTAGTCCCCAGGCCAATCCTGTAGACAACATAGAAGGGACAAGACTCTGGTGTCAGCTCAATATGCTCTTGTTGATGGTGGAATATTACAGTATAGTAAACCTGAAATATCCACGAGTAACTGATATTCCTGACCAATTTTTTTAGGAATAAAAGTCTAAAACCTATTGCTAATGATGAATAACTAGGCAGCTCAAAAGACATGCTCCTGCTGTATGTAGATTTGCACTTCATGGACGAAAAGCCATTGAGGAAATTCTTCCATGAGTATCATGGGTACTAGATGGCAAGTAAGGTGACCCTTTAGAACAAGGGCAAAGCCAAATCAGTTGCCTCAGACCTTGTGTTAAAGAGAGCCACTGAGGAAATCATACATATAAACCAAATGGAGACAATCAACCCAAAAACTTCAAAGAGAATTACAGACTTATCCCTGCAATGAAATGAGCAAATCATGGACTGGACACTTACCGCAGTAGAGCAGTTTCTCGTCTGACTTGTCCTTACAGTGAGGAATGCCATCGCAGGTGAGCTGGTAGTCAATACACTCGCCGTTCCCACACTCAAACTCTGAATAAATGTTACAGGAGGAATTTTTAGCTGAAAGGAAAAAATTCAATGTTTTTATGTAATGACAAACATTTTTGATACCATAATAATTGTTTCCCTTAATTTTAATTATAAAAATAAAATAAAATGTACCTAATATAAAAAGGGGTGATGGTTTATGGGCTTTCTCTATTAAAAAGAAATTAAGAAGGACAACTTTTTTGTTGTTATTTTTACTCCCTCTGTAAATTTTAGGGGAGTTGCCTGATTTCATTTTTATTTTATGTCTATGGGTATACTTTTTAAATTATTTGGTGACTGTGCATGTTTGGAAAGAAGGAGCTTAAATTTGCGTGACTATATCAGTCTTGCTTATAAGTCTATCTTAAAAATAACGTTTTAAGAACCAGTTAAATGAGCTCTGTACATATTAGGGGTGTTTTGTGTTTTCTTACTGGAATCTATTATATATTCTTCAGTGCACTGAAATTTTCCAGTATATATCATTTTCATTTTTGAATGTTTGACTTGATTTTTCTCTTGACTTAAATCTTACTTTCATTCAGTCATCCTTCCCAACTACATTTGGAAGAAATTTCTGTATCAGCTTCTATTATTCAGAAGTACTGGAATTGCTAAAATTATCCTCACCAGCCTCTTGTTCTATATTACTTAATTTCTCATTTTCAGTGAAAACTAATTGTTATGATGGACAATGCCATATCTTGCTTTTGTAGTTCTATGAGGGAAAACAAATTTTTACAATAAACACATTTTTTTATTATTCAAAATCAAACACTGTCTAAGTGTGTTCATTCGATGAAACAGTGATAAGTATTTTCTGCTGCTTTCTGGAAACACAAATGTGGTTCAGCTGTCCTCTAATTCTCCTACAAGGCAATTACTTTATCTGATTATATTTGCTATTCTTCTGTTATGGGTGTTGACAAGGTTAGCAATGTTGTATAAAATGGAATTGCCTAATCTTTTTGTCAAGAGTTATGACAACAAATGGTTTTCCCTCCTTTGGACTCCAGTAGGTGTTAGTAAAGGGCCTTTCACAACCTTTAATGCAGCCATTAACATTCATGAACTGCTCTGGGTGAACTAATTCAGATGATGACATAGATAAGCCAGAAACATCCTCATTTCCCAAAGATTCATTTGACAAGAAGCAGCCCAGAGTTACTTTCCAATCTCTCTGCTGGACCACAGGATTTCAATATGAATGCATAATGAATGCAGGATGCTTCTGTTAAGGTTTGTCAGTCCTGAGGAATCCAAATATCACTCTATAGTTCCATGTGAATACAGGGGTGCTTGTTTAAAATTTCATTCAGTCATCCTTCCCAACTACATTTGGAAGAAATTTCTGTATCAGCTTCTATTATTCAGAAGTACTGGAATTGCTAAAATTATCCTCACCAGCCTCTTGTTCTATATTACTTAATTTCTCATTTTCAGTGAAAACTAATTGTTATGATGGACAATGCCATATCTTGCTTTTGTAGTTCTATGAGGGAAAACAAATTTTTACAATAAACACATTTTTTTATTATTCAAAATCAAACACTGTCTAAGTGTGTTCATTCGATGAAACAGTGATAAGTATTTTCTGCTGCTTTCTGGAAACACAAATGTGGTTCAGCTGTCCTCTAATTCTCCTACAAGGCAATTACTTTATCTGATTATATTTGCTATTCTTCTGTTATGGGTGTTGACAAGGTTAGCAATGTTGTATAAAATGGAATTGCCTAATCTTTTTGTCAAGAGTTATGACAACAAATGGTTTTCCCTCCTTTGGACTCCAGTAGGTGTTAGTAAAGGGCCTTTCACAACCTTTAATGCAGCCATTAACATTCATGAACTGCTCTGGGTGAACTAATTCAGATGATGACATAGATAAGCCAGAAACATCCTCATTTCCCAAAGATTCATTTGACAAGAAGCAGCCCAGAGTTACTTTCCAATCTCTCTGCTGGACCACAGGATTTCAATATGAATGCATAATGAATGCAGGATGCTTCTGTTAAGGTTTGTCAGTCCTGAGGAATCCAAATATCACTCTATAGTTCCATGTGAATACAGGGGTGCTTGTTTAAAATAAGAGCTTTCCATCTGATTCATTCCCTCTCATAAACAGAAGCAGGTGGGTTAGTAGGAACAAATGAACTGAATGTATTTTGCAGCAAGGACAGGAATCTACTGTCTACAAATAAGCCTTGCTCTTTTGACTAAATACTTTGCCTTACTATTGGCCTGTACTGACCTGTGAAAGAAATATATGTGATTCTAATGCATAACTAACACTCCAGGCTTACAGATGGTGTCAGATCCAGATCATTACAGCTGAAACCACAAAGGCAAACTGAAAAAGAGAGTTTAAGCAATTGCCAGAGCAATTCAACCAAGTGTCAGGTGATGAAGAAATACGGGAATTTCTAGCCTGCATCATTAAAATTGGCTATCTTTGTTTAAAGTTCACTGACCAAATGAATCATTTCCTCATTTTTTTTTTAATACCTGCATAGTCTTAAATAAGTCTTTTACTTGTTTTGCTAATAGGTGTCCTTTTAGAATGTGGTACCAATTTGCAGGGTGAGAAGATACATCTATGTTCCTGTATTAGATATGGCAATTTTCAAGGTAAAGAAAATGATGTCAATGTGCTTATACTCAAATAAAGAGTATATAAAAGAGAAGATCCTCCTAGTAGATAAAGTCCAAAAGAAGACTGAAGATGAAGATGGAAAATACTTTTGACTTCTGATACTTATTTTTATAGTGTACACATATACAGTTTTGTTGATTTTTCTAAGATGGTAAGATATGAGATGAGGACATAAGTTAAAGAGATATGAGATGAGGAAAAAAAGTTAAAAAATTGACACATCCTGAGAGTGAGGCCATCAGTTCCCAATGAGATGCTTCTCTCTCATCTTTTTTAAGCACAAATATTCTTAATGTTAAAGAGAAATTAACATGTTTTATGTTGCTGGCTCATTTCTCCAGGCAATATTAGAACACTTGGACCCTTATTTATTTTGGAAGAAGTTCTGGTAAATTAGTTGTTAATAAGTGTACACTGTAATGGCACTAATTAAAGATTATAGTGCCTTTTGGGAGGTGTAAACATCATGAAAGGCTGCAATGTTACATTCTTAATTAACAGTTTGGAAATTATTACAAATAAGCTGCATGAGCCATTTCCTCACCTTTACACACTGTGATGGACTGTGAGTGGTTTTCACTACAAGTCTACTGGTCTACTGCTTGCACACTGGTTTATTTCAGCTTTCATTAATTTCGCTATTAATTGAATTCTAAGTCATAACCACAAGTTTTCAGATGATCATTGTATTCAGGTATTTATTTAGCTAGTCCAACACCTTTAAGTACACCATCAGAAGGAATATACCATTTGTCACTGTTTTGGTTATCATTATCAGTCACATGGTGCTGTAACTAATAGAATGATTAAATCAGTTCTTTTAGAAAAAAAAGATAAGCCAACTGGGTGTGTAATACTGGAGGAGAGTACAACTTCATGAATACTAAAAATAATTTGTGTCCATGTGTGTTGCTTTGAGCAGCTGTGTCATACCACTTGATTCCCTTTACTTACTCACACATCTGTTGTTATCTAGCAATACTCGATCCCCTCTGCAGGAACAATTCACTCTCCCATTAGGAGTTAAAAGGCACAGGTCATGGCAACCTCCATTCAATAATGCACATGGAGAAAGTTCACCTGCAATGAAGATACTTTATTGGTAATGTGTTATATTGAATCCCTATTCCATGTTAGATACAGAGTAATAGTAACTAGCTAGGCTGCCTCGATATCTCAAAGGTATCTCATAAACAAGGAAGACTTAGTACTTTTGAAAATCCGAATATCCCAAAAGGTAGGAACTTCACAAAAATATGTAACATAAATTACTACATTGTCTAATACATTTATCAAGATGCCATGGAATCAAATGAACCAGTACCATTAGAAAGCACACTGAGGCTGCAAGCTGCAATTTGTAGGTATTCCAGTGATTAAAGAATACTTAAGCTCAGATGCAAAGTTTTTCTATCAAGTATTATTTTCATGGGAACAACTTAATTTGAGTGTTAAAGAAAAGAGGACTGAGAGGAAATGGAATTATTTCCAGAAACAAATAACTAAAAATGAATTGTTCTTTCTCTTGATGAATTCAGAAGTTGCCTTAAACCTTTCAAAGAATGCCAATGTATTGAATAGTCAAATCCTGAATACTCCCCTCAGGAACTCTAAGAAAATAAAATCCAACTAAGCATTATTAAAAAAAAAAAGATAATATTTTGAGAACTCATATAATTAAGACATATATGGTTTTATTGTAACTTACAGCTATTGGTGTCATTGGCAACAGCTATGATTCCCATTGGTTGATGTGGAATATCAGAACGAAGAATTTTTGTATCTCCTCCTGTGTACTTGTTGGAACGCAGAATAGCTCTCCTTCCCCAGTCTGACCAGAAGATATAATTGTCATAAACAGCCAAACTCAGGAAAGTTCCTGGCCCAGATTTGACAATCACCTGAAATAAAGTATATATATATGTGTATATATATATTCTTTTTTTTTCAACTTCTCTTGCTTACATACTTTTTTTTAAATTAAGGTGCCATTGATATACAATCTTATGCTCAGATTTCACATGAGCAACATTGTAGTTACTACATTTCCCCTATTATCAAGTTTAAGATGAAGATATAGGTATTCCTATATCCACATCTATTTTTGCTTAAAGAAAAAAGGTATTAAGATTAATTATTTTCAATCAATAGAAATCATCAGACAAAAAGCATCTTACTAAATGTATGATCATAACATTCCTTATGGTTTATCTTAAATGTTGTAATCATCCTTAACTTTTACAATGTTTATTTAATATCTTATGTATATTTCTACTCAATAATCATTTGACTTGTATAAAAAAATTTTATTTTTTCAGTGTTATAAACCAAAATCACCAAGCCAAAAAGCTGAAATCAATTATGACTACTAACATTTATTAAGAATCATCAGATATAAGTGAACACTCATCAAGCTCTCAGAACTACAGAATATAAAGAATCATAAGACCCTGGGTTCTTCTTTGAAGAAGTTTTCAACATGAATGATTTAAGCATATATATATTGGCGATAACAGTTTAAAAGTAAAGACCAAACTTCCACTCAGACCAAGATGAAGAAAAAAGACTAGATTTACTTTTCCAATAAAATAACTAAAAACTCGAACAATATATATGAAAAAAGTCTTTACAAAATATGGGAAATCAGGTAATAAAGGACAACAATTCCTAATTAGTAGGAATTAAATGGAGTGATTCACTATGGCTCATTGTGGCCATAGCTTATGGCCTGAGAGAGATTCTAAGTAGCAACACAATACAGAGGAACCCAGCAGAGCCCAAGCCCAGAGAACAACCCCGGGTGGGACAGACTGAGAGTTATGGGAGGACAATGTGATTAGATCCCATAGAGCAGAGTGTGGGAAAAGAGAATGTAACCAAAACAGAGCTGTGGATATTTCTACAGGGACCCATAGGGAATTCAACCAAGTGCTAAGCACATGCAGGTATGACTGAGGAAACTTCAGATTAGTGAAAGCAACATGAGAAAGGATTAAAGAGAAAAGTTCCCAAACTTCACATGGGTCCAAGAATTGTGCTTTTTAACACCAACCAGATTTGAAGATTTTTCTAACTCATGGACTCTGAGTTACTTAACTGGACTGATCTTGTCTCAGCAGTGAGAAATAATTAACCCTAGACTAAACTCTGCTCTATTGCTATCTAACAAAACTTAAAAAAAAAAGATCTGAAAGAATCAAACTGTTTCCAAGTAATTTAACCATTTCTCAGAAGCAAACTTAGAAATTTTACTGAGAATATGAAAAAATTTACCACCAAGCTACTGTGTAAGAGAAGTTGAAAAAAAGAAAAAACTCTAAAATCAATGACCTCAACTTCCACCTTAGGAAACTGGAGGGAAAGAAAAATTAAATTCAAAGTAAGGAAAAGAAAAATAAAATAAAGATTAGAGGAGAAATCCAGGAAATATAAAACACAAAAACATTAGAGAAAAATCAATGAAACCATAAAATTGTTCTTTGAGAACAAAAGATAATACATAATGATGAAGTGGCGTTTATCCCAGAAATACAGATTGATTTAAAATTTTAAAAGCCCATTGATGTAATTTACTATATTAGCAGGTAAAAGAAGAAAACTTAAATGAAGATCTCAATAAATGCATAGAAACTATTTATAGAATCTAACATCCATTCCTGATAAAAACAGTAGAAATAAAACTAGTAACGAGAGAGAAATGATCACTCTCACTACTTCTATTCAACATTGTCCTAGAGTTTCTAGCTAGAGTAATAAGGCAAGAAAATGAAAACAAAGAGCACCCAGATTGGAAAAAAAAAAAAGTAAAACTTTATTTGCAGGGAACATAACCCACTCCAATAGAATAAAAAAATTGAATAGAATCTACAGAAATAATCTGCTTGAACTAATAAATTTAGTAAGGTTGCAGGATACAAATTGCTATAAAAATTTCTATATGCTAGCAATGAGCAACTAAAAATTTAAATAAAAAAAACTTTTGCAATAGCATCAACAAATATTAAATACTTAGTAATATATATGAAAAAATATGTTCAAGGACCTAAAAACTACAAAACATTGCTAAGAGAAATTAACAAAAACCTAAATAGAGATATGCCTATTCATGGTTTGCAAGATTCAATATTGTTAAGATGTCATCTTTCCTCACATTGATAAATTGTGTCTAATCCCTGAAAAATCCTGCAGAAATTCTAAAATTTCAAATTCTAGAAATTGACAAGCTGATTCCAAAGTCCATGTGTGCAATATAATGTTATAAGAAATACATATTTGGTCATTCAGATTACTAAATAATACATTTCCACTTATATTTGGTCTTCATCCACAGTTACCGAAATCACTTCACAGGTTTAAAGGTAAAATGTGTGTCTTGTCATGTTAATGAGAATTTCAAACCCTCAGCTAAGGGAGGGCACTTGTAGTTGAATCAGCCAAAGGCCAATGATTTAGTCAGTCAACGAAGTCCTCACAAAAACTCGTGAGAAGAGCATCTCTCTCTTTTTTGCATCCTGCTTCTCTATTGTAGAGAGCTACCATGCTTGGGGAACCAGAACACTTCCACGTGACACTGAGCCAGGCCCCAAACTCCACAAGGGTAGAAGCTCCTTTATTTGGGGACTTGTTTTTGCATCTTTTCACCCAGCTTGTTAACTTTATTAAACTGGTACATGTAAGTGTTTCCCTGAGCTCTGTGAGCCACTCTAGGAAATTAATTGAACCTAAAGGGGGTATCATTAGAACTTTCTATCTGCAGCCAGTCAGAAGCGCATGTAACAGTCTGGAGCTTGGGACTGGTATCTGGAGTGGGGGGTGGAGGGCAGTCTTGTAGGATACAGCCCTTCACCTGGGGAATCTGGTGCTGTCCCTGTGCAGATAACATATGGTCCCAAACAGGTCCCAGCAGCAGTTGAACAAAACTAAGAACCACCCAAACCACACCTCCTTACAATCTCATTGAAATACAGTTGTGATTCTGGCCTCCCACCATGGGCTTTTCTGTGTGCATTTTGAGAAAAGACATGTACCAAGAGGAACGGGTGTATAATTAGAGCTGTCGATCAAATGACCTCACCCTGCCAATCAAAAGAAGTGCCTCCAGGGCTAAGTCAGTAGTGATACATAGACCCTCCCATAAAAGTTAGGGGCCTTTGTCTACCTTGACTCTGTCCCACTCCTCCCTTGGAGTGTATTCAAATAAAACTTTCACTCTGCTTCCCTATTGTGTCTCTGCTTTTCAATTCTTTGCTGCAGCAGGACCAAGGACAGAGAAGAACGAACTCAGCCTATAACAATATGGTTTGGAGAAAACAGATAATGTGGGAATGTGGTACTTTAAAAAATAAGTCTCCTTTCTCTCCTCTATCTTATATCAAATTCTACATTATTATGAGATAATTAACAATGTTATCTTCCTTATTTCCCAAACCTTGCCTCATTCGTTCCAAATTAACTGCTAAGTAGCCTCTAATAAAAGCAATTCCTTTATTTTTATTCTGAGTATATAAGTAATTTCTGTACTATAGAACAATATTTCTCAAACTTTGATGCATATACAATTCCCTTTGAGATTTTGTTAAAATTCAGGTTCTGATTCACTAGGTCAGGAGTTCCCTGAGATTATTCATTTCTAATAAGCTTTCAGGTGTTGCTGAGGTATGTGATTTGGAAACTCACTTTGAATAGCAAGAATTATAAAGTAAAGTATAAAAAAGAAAATAATAATCTTACCACACTGATATAATGAATCATTATTTTGAATTAAGAATATATATTTATGTTCTATTTTTTTTCTTTACAAATTGGTATCACAGTTATGCTTTGTATTAACTTCAAAGTAAGTTGATGGGACTTCTGAGGTCAAGCAAAATGGGGTAAGCCCACTACAGCCTGTCTATCCCATTGATTACTACTTTCTGATCATTATGTTGTGGGAACAAGAGGGAAAACATGGTAAAAGAAAGTTGAATGGCATCAAGAAGCGGAGTGGAAGGGAGCAGAATAAAATACTCTTTTTACTGTCATCTTTTTTTCTTTTTATTACATCTAGCATCACCCAATAACTGAAATAAGTAACAATATACTAAGTGTGCATCTGCTGCTTACCCTCGAAGGGTGCAGTTTTAGTGTACTTATGTTTCCCAGGACTTCCCCAAGTTCACACAGAAATTATGGGGAGCTGTGGCTCCCCTGGATTAGCTCTCCAATCCAGGCCTACAGAGAGGCCAACCACCAGCCATTGCTTAAGTGTTCTTGTGAGTTATAACACTTTTGCACTGGACCTGACCACCTACCTTCTGGCCTGGCTGCACCAAAGGGTTTAAAAAATCTGGTTTGGAAAGTGCTTCCCAATGGACATATTTGACATTGATTTGGGGTCTTTTTCCATTAATCTTCTGTGCTCACTTCACTCCTTCACCCATTTCACTTCATTTTCTAACCACTTCTATTCATATTTATCCAGCTTCATCTTCTTTCCCTAACAGAAGGAAAGTCTCAAAGCTTAAAGTAACAGGCATGTGTACACTCTAAATTTCGTTGAGTTATGAGTAAAATAAAATTTAAAATTCTAACTTTAAAAAAATCATCCTCCCCAAACTTCAGCTCCTTTCAAGAGGAAAAGAGCAATCTATCTTGATCTGCAATACATTAGAACACCCTGTTTTACAAGATGACAAGATAATTCTCCCATATGTTCTCCTGTGCTTAGAAAACTTTTAGTGATCTAAGTTCAGGACACATTACTTCCACCCCTCTAAAACAGACATACTACACACACACACACATTGAATCATGGGGAAGACTAATGTTAAAATGTACTTTTTTATCCTATTAGAAATCTGAAAAGTGCTAATACTTAGTAATCATTCAGGTTTAATATTCCTAGTTTGCATTTCTTTAG